TGCTGGGCTTACTTGGTACTTCTCTGAACAGTTGTGAATAAAGAGAATATTAAATACTTTTTGATGTGAGTTTACTTTATTTTCAAACTTTCATTAAATTGAAAGAGGTATAACTCTTTGAGATTGTCTTCTACATGTTAGCATTCATTTAACAAGCTACAACTTCCAGACTGGAGGAGAATTTAGAGATTCCACTTAGAAAAGTGCAGATTAGATTTAATTGGCACCCTGCTGGGCTTCTCTCTTCACAAGTGGAATTTTTTCCATTCCCACCACCACCTCTTAGACAGGTACAACTATGCTCATTTTGCTTTTCCTTTCAGATACAGATGTGTAAGTTTAAGCAGGCAGACAAGGATGTTTTAGAAAGATTTAGGCTTTAGAAGCAGAGATCTGGGTTTAAACTCTCCCTTCTGGCCTCCTTAATAGTTTGGCCAGCTCAAGACTTCCATGCATCAAGGATGGGATGGAGCCCGCGAACGTGGGCCTCTGGCAATTAGATGGGTGATGGGAATGAATGAGAATCTGTTCACTTCAGGACTTTGCTGGGTGTGTTAAGCTGTGTGGTAAACAGGACGAGGACCATGATTTAGCTTCTGCCACTGTGAAGCCTGCGGTCTGTGGCCATGGGGAGATAAAAGTCTCTGTGTGATCGAACTGAGAAAGCGATGAATGCTAAGCTTTGGACTTGGGGGCCAGGAACGAGAGATCCTGCTGAAAAGTGGAAGGGTATGAAAGGACGGCTCTTTTAGAAGAGGTGGCATGACCGTCAGGGATGCATGGAAAAGAGGCACTGCCAGCTAAGAGAAAAGAAGGGGATTACATGTTAAGGAAGAGAGAGGAAGACATTCAGAGGGACCAAGCAATGAGCCTGTGGCATGTAGGGGAGGAAGCAACAAACAGCTAAAGATGAATTGGTGCCGATGTTCCCAACCCCCTCCCTGTTAGTGTCCTTCCATCACTTTCTTTGACCCTTCCCTAACAAGTAGGTGCCAGGTACTGAGCATGTGTGCTGACCCAGATGCGTAGCCTTTTCCACCCAGTTTAGCGTGCAGCCCTTCTTCATTGGGAACTCAGACATCAGCAAACCACCAGGGAGCCGGCAATGCCATGCAGCTGCACTGACGGTGGCCACAGAAGCCAGACTTGGAGCTTCCATCTCCAGAATGTCATGGCGCTGCAACGGTGGGAACATACACAGTTGTTATCATAGCCCAGCAGCACGCTTAGAGTCCAGTGGAAGTGGAGGAGTGCGAACCTAGGATACATTCTGCCCAACCTCACATTTCAGCTCCTGCACTGGACAAATTGTTTAGCTGCTCTCTGCTTTGGTTGACTTATATCTGAAGTAGGGATAAAAACTCCCCAGTAGACTTGTGGAGATTAAAAGAATTAGTACATGTAACTTACAAAAATGCCCAGCATGTATTGGATACAGACACACATATATAATAGCACACATATATGTATGTATATGCATTTAATTATTATTAAATTTAAATACTGTCATTAAATTACTTCTTGGAGTGCATTAAATGAGGTTGAGCTTTCAAAAGAGGAGCTTGCTGATCCCACTTTGGTGATAGGTGCAATAGTTTGTTACATTGAAATAAACAGTTTTTCAGTAATATGAGAGCCATGTATATTCAAATATTATGGAAATAAAATAATCATAATCATTGAGAGTCAATCTGATTATTATTATATTATTTTCTTACCTTGGCAAAAAAAATGAAAATACACACACACACACACACACACACACACACACGTACATACTCTGATGTATCTCTTTAGAGGAAAAGAATGTGTTGTTTGGCCATTGAAAATGTTTATTGAAAATATCTTACAAACTTAAACCTAGTCCTTGGATACCAGGAGAGAGAAGCAAGCCTCCAGAGCCTCAGGTACTTTCATTGTCCAAGGTAGTGGTCCATTAACACGGCTTCTGGAAGCCAAATGCCTAAATGATTTCTGCCTCTGAGGGCCAGGACACTGGCTGCATTTCCTATGAGCCTGTATAAGGCAGAGTTATTTTTCCTAGGGGAAGATGGGAAGCAATTCCTCTTTTTGTATGTAATGGTAGGAATATGAAAGAATGGTATATAGTAGGCAAATAAATTACCAAGGTATCAGTGTCCAAAGGGAAATGCTTATATTCATAATTGGATTTAATAATTTTGGTTTCAATAATGTTTGTGCTCATTAGCTATTCAGTGAAATGAAGTTAATTTTAAAGTTCATTAGTATACAAAGAGCATCTGTTTACTTTTAACAGAGTTGAATATTTTCATTATTAGTGGAGTGATTTCCATTATTATCAGCATGACATATAACCAAATAACTTCAGGGGACTCATTATAGATTATGTACAATTTATTCATCTTTGAATATAAGCTTTAAACATCTGAAATTACTTCTAATATCCATAGCAAGTGATAATTTCTGTGGTAGTAGTAAATAATTAAACTTCCCAGTACACTAATTGAGTTGTTCTTTTTACGTAGGTTCTTTGTATGATTTTAAACACACTGATTCCAAACTGCCAAGCACTGGAATTTTAAAGTGTTCTCAACTTGGTCTCACCAAGGCAAATGTGATGCTTCCATATTTCTTACTCCTGGTAACTGTTCCCTCACTCATTCGCCTTCCCTGTGAAGAAGCGCTCCACTGCCTGGGTTAGAAGCATGCGGTACAGGAAACTGAGGTGGCCAACACCTCTGACTCCAAGTAGCCACTCCATTTCCTGTGTCCTAGGAAACTCCAAAGGCACACCCATCCATCACCATGGTGCTTGCAAACCTGAGTGTCTAGTAAGACTAAACAACACTGTGTCCCAAGCTGTCATGCAGATGGGCTCAAATCACTTAATTTGTGAATGTAAGGGAAGCTGAGTATAATGAATTGTACAAACTTAGCTCTTCACATTTCATTGAAGTTGCATAATAAACTTGCGTCACTGTAAGGATTATTGGTGGAGGAAAGTAGACTTCAGTGAAGGCCACCCTTGGTGAATCTTACTCACTCATTTTTGAATGATTGCCCAAGGACTCCCAGGATTCAGGTATATGCATTTGAGCATGTGGACCTCCATGTGGAAATCTACGTACACACACACACACACACACACACACACACACACAGAGATACACGTACACATACACACACACCCTTTAATCTCATAGATTTAAATTTATGTGATGTTGTCATCTTTCTGGTGTGATTAATACATTGATAAAGCACATAGATCAATAAATTGATAATAATACAAATCAATGTGGTAGTATTTTTCTAGAATGGATACCAGCTGTAGGTAGTTTTTTATATTGCTTACCATGTTGTACTTAAAGCAAGTTTTAATGAGCATCTAACTAAAGCTGATCAAGCGACACTGACACCTGACATTTTCTTGGTAATCCCCAGATTTAAAAAGCTTCACAATTCAAATACCTAACAATTTGGGATACATTTATTAAAAACTATGTCAGGAACCTAAGGGAAAACTATTAAAAAATATTTTTGAAATATATTGATCCACCTATAATGGTAAAATAATGTCAACTAATTTATTCAGAATTGTGAAAGCAAGAACTGTTTTTTAACAAATGAATACTCACCCTGACATGAACAGTAATGTGTTTCATACAGCAAACAACTGTTATTGTTTGCTTCTGTTTTTAAAAGTAACTTAAATGACTTTAGAGTATGAAATATCTCAAATGTATGTTGGCTTTAATCTGTAACAAATGTAGAATTTAATAATATATGTGAGTATACAAGAATAACCTGGATTATCAAATAGAGTTTTAAAATATTATAAATAGTACATGAATTTATGAGATGCATGTGAAAGAGAGAAAGGGAGAAGACAGAAGGGGAGAGAGAGAGAGAGAGACAGACAGACAATGAAAAGGAGAAGGAAATTACAGCTGAGAGAGATATATTACCTGGGGATGTATATATTCAGACTTAAGGTAAGTAAGACTTTGAGGAAATTTCAGATTCATCCATTGGACACTGAGTGGTTAAGCTTATTTTTTAAAAGGGCATTTTAAACTGTTCAGGAATTCTTCCGGTGAGTGATATGTTGCAGTTAGAAATCTTCCACACAGAATGGGATTGTATGGGGTGTTCCACATTTCATTGCTTACTAGCAAACCATAACAATTCTAGTGTTGTTCTGTTTTAAGCAGGAGAAAGTTAGAACACGAATAATCCTCTCATTTTGATAGCGCCTTGAAGGACTTGTGATCATTCATAGTGTAAAACCTCTGAAATGTTAGGATACCAAATTAGTTTTTCCTTTGAATTGTATGTGCCAAAATAGTTCATGAGTTTCTAAGATAATCCATGTGTGTACAAATTCTAAATCTTGACAAAAATGCTTCATAGATTATCCATTAGATAATAAAAGGCTAGTAATACTTGAGTATATGAAATGTGCCAATAACTGATAATGTACAATTTTATAGTTTCCTTATGATTATTCTAGAGTTTATCTTAAATGAATTTTTCACTGATATACATATATAACTGACTTACTTGTTTTGTGGTTCCACAATTTTCTTCTAAAACAAGAGACAACTTTCCCCCTTTTTAGGAACCAAATGTATTAAGAACAAAATAAATACCCAATAGACGAGTCCTTACCATGTACTGTCAGATTGTATTTAATTTCATGCATGCATGGAAGGTAATAATGTGATTCTGCAGTACTAAATATTCCTCAGCCATTCACACTCAGTATTATCTGGAGTAAAACTAGATTAAACTTGCAGAATGGTGAATTACTGCAAATAATAAAGTCAAGGCAATTCATTGATCTTTATCTGCTTGTCTACTTTTTATAGCTTGCATGAAGTAGAAATGTTTGCTTGGGTGCTGATCAGATTGCAAGGGGTCTGGCGTTATGGAGAGAATCACTGGGCTAAAAATGTTTTTTTTTTCTTTTAAAGTTATACACAGCACCTTTTTCTTACATGCCTCTGTTTTTCTTTTAGTGGCAAAGCATTTCTATAACACTGGTTGAGAAAGTTCAGATGATTGCTGTAATCCTAGGATCCCTGTTCTTAATAGCAAGTGTGACTTGGCTTCTCTGGTCAGCCTTCAGCCCCTATGCAGTGTGGCAGAGGAAGGACATCCTTTTCCAAATCTGCTATGGAATGTATGGTTTTATGGATCTAGTGTGCATAGGTAAGACCATGTTAAACATTTATGAACTGTCAGTAATCTATTTTTTTCAGCAATTTTCTTCTCACCAGTTGAATCTAACATACCTAGAATGTTGTGGTTTACATTATTTTGGCTTTACAAATAATTATTTGGGGTTAGAAGGATATTTTTCTTTAAAACATAGCACTAAAAATAGCATTTATATTCTGATGTTTTCTGACAAGGTAACAGATAAAGACCATGTAAAGTCATTTATTTTGCAACTAAAAGAAAGGAGAGGTGGAAGAAATGATTTGAGGTGAGTGACATAAGTAAGGTCATTCATTTGTAAGGAAGAAGAGCAAATCAGCGTCCTTTTACAGAGATGGGGAAGAATGGATCAATGCAGATGGCAATATTGTGCATTTGGTGAGAAGATAATCACCCAAAGACCCATATTATCACTGTGGCTCACATCCTTTGGAGACATAAATGGCTTCTTGGAAGATGAGGGAGTTGGGGAGACTTTTTCTTACTGACTTACATCTCTTTGTTTCACTTAGTGAAGTCAGTGCCTTAGAAACAAAAGCATATCAAACGTTGCAGCCAAAATAGGTTACTACAAGATAGCTACAAAAGGATCACTCTGTGATTCCATTGACCAGTCTGCCGGTTCCCTAATACCATGTAACAAATGGAAGCCAATTCATGCAGCATTTACGTGTGAGGTGCTGCAGGCAGTCACAGTGATGGTAACCATGTCTGGGGTTGGGGCTGGGGGTGGTGGATCTGGGCACCGGGGTATGAGGATAATTGCTTTGCTCTGTTATGGTTCACAGCCTTGTGAGTTGTAAAAACACCACCATTTAAAGCAGTGACTCTCAGGGTGTGGTGCCTCACACTGACACACTGGCAGAATCTGTAGCACCTCATCGATCTCAGCCCCAGCCCAACCAACTCAGCCACCTGTGTTCATATCACTTTATTGTTCCGATGCCCTGGAAGCTTGGAACATCATTGTCTAGGGCATGGATGCCCAGTGTGGGACTGAGTGCCTGGGATCCAACCCTGGCCTCTGCTTGCATAGGTCACCTTCACCTTGCTACACTCCTGTCCTGTCGCCATTAAAATGGGGATAATAATTCCTACCATGCATATCTAAATAAAGGAAACAGTAATCATATTACTAATTAGAAGTGGTAGATCAAATATATTTGAACAAGTCAGAAACACTAAAATAACTTTATACTGCTTAAATTAATCTCTGTACTTACTAGAGCCTTAATTTAACTAGCAATTTCAACTAATTTTTTCCAAAAGGGCTACATGTATAAATGTTTAAAATATGATTAGTCTCACTTTCCCTTTTGTTATTTCCTCCCTTCACTGATGCAAAGCTAATTGGAAAGAAAACAATCATATTTTAGGCTAGCAAGAGAAAAAGAAGAGTGGGAAATGTCATGAATAATATGTAAACTGTGTGGATGTTTCCTGAATAATTGTGCTAATCATCTATTTGAGCACTTTGCATTAAATGTGATAATGCATATGCAAACATTTGGAAATTCTAAAACTCTATTAAATTTAATCCTTAGAGGATTTCTCTAAATAAGGAAAAATCCCAAAATTGTTCTACAAATTGAATCTTTCAACAAGTTCAAAGTGGTGTTCATTCTTCAACTTGAATATTATGTAGCATTCCACTGATATTAAGATGGGAGCATTTCAGAAAGCTAGAAGAATTTTATAGGTTTTCACCATAAATAAATGATAAATATTGGAGGAGATAAACAGATTTAAGCATTATACAATGCACACTTGTGTGGAAACAGTACGTGGTGCCCCATTAACATGTATAATTTTTATGCTTTATGTACCAGGTTAAAGATAATTTTTCAGTAAGACTAGGGAAATGCCAAAAACAAAAAATTAGGCTCCCATTTCAACTAGAAAGGGAAAAAAATCCAGTTGACTTTTTTGACATCTTTGTAATACTAAAAAGGCCGTACATTTTCTTTTTTTGGTTTTTTGGTTTTTCTTCCAGTACCAGGAATCGAACTCATGACCTTGTGCTTGCCAGGCAGGTGCTGTGCCACTGAGCTAAATCCCCAGCCCCCAGGGTCATACATTTTCTGATTAGGAAATCATTTTCTTGAATTTCAAAACTTGCATCACTGCTGTTATGATAGTCTGAATTTTAGTTATTACTGCCAGCATTTTAATGAAGATTATTAGAATCTGCTTTCAAAAGCCTAGACATATGAGCTAATGGTCACTTGGTATTATATGACCTATTTGGACTTCTCTTGAAATTTGAGCATTTGCCCATTTTATAAAGTCAGATTTCTTGGAAAGAAAGATAGTTGCCATTTTTCTGGAGATATTTTGGAGAGTAAATTGTTATCTGCCTCTCTAAATATTGATAGTACTCTATATTGTCATTGGTTCATCAAGTACATATCTCATCCTTCAGTGATCTATTTATATATTTTGAAAAATCGTTAAAAATTCAGATCGAACATTATTTTACTTATAAATCTAAATAAGTTTTTTGCTTTAGCTCAGTGACTGTCTTAATTTTTTCCCCAAGAAACTAGGACACTACTATACTAAAGGAAGCAATAGCCATTTAGATTATAGCCAATGTTAACCTCTGGTAACATTTCAGATTATTTAAAATATCTGCTAGCCAATGAAGACAGCAACAAAAATGACACTGATTGTACCTTAATACTAATAGGACCTGGAAGACTTAGAATTGGAGGTAGAATGAAAATCAGCCTTACAATGTTGAGTCCAGTGTACTGAGGTCAGTTTAATAAATATTTGTTGGAACATTCCATATGTTTGACAAGTGCTACCTGCTAGGAATACCAACAAGTCAGTAATTTTCCTTCCCCAAAGGAGTTCCTGATCTCATGGGGGATGTACAAGTTTTTAAATTTTACTTGGGTTCTTTTTTTTAACCCTAACCAAAAGTAAGTGATGCTGGAAGACTGTGGAGGGGTCCTTGTACTTGGGCCATATGACAAGATAACATCACAGAAGACACTGTCAACCCACAGCCTTGCATGAAGGCTGTTACAGCTTTACATGAAAAGCACTTCCACAGAATTCCTGCCCCCAAATGGTCTGTTTAATCTTGGAAGGGCATCACCCTTGTTACTGATCCTGGAGGATACTTGATTTTATTCCTTGTGGCCAAGGATTATTGTTTCAAAGTATTTTATGGAATGTCCCTCATTTCCCTCCACCTCCTTGAATGCACACGTAGTTTACTCTGCACACGCTTCCCTTGCAATGCCACTCTGGAATAAATTTAATTAATCTTTAGAGAATCCCTCTTGCTGTCTGTCATTTAGTTTGACAGGGAAGAGAGTCCTGTGAGTAGGTAGACAGAAAAAAAAGGGATATGCAGTTATGAAAGAATGCACAGGAATTGGTCATTGGATAATACAGGGAGAAATTAACCCTGGAGTGTTACTTGGAGGAGAAGTTTTCTCGCAGATTTTATGGGGAAATGACAGCCCAGATGGCTGACAGCTGCTGGTACTTGACAAAGGAAAAATGGACCTCTGTTCACCCCCGGAGGATGCGAGATTGGCTCCCCTTTCAGGGACTTTGAAACAGTTGGAAACATTCCTACAAGCTTTTAAAACTTGGTTACGCCTAGATGAGAAAAACACAGTGACAACTTGGAGTTCTCTTTGAAAATCCATGGCTAGTCATCCCAGAATCCAAACATGTTATAATCCCACCAGTGCATTTAACAGATCAGGAGAAATTGGACTGTTAACTAGGATTTTAAAGATCTGTAGAATATTTATTTCCTTGGGAAAATTTGTTTACCTACTTCCACGCGTGGTGAATTGGTTTGTTGTTAAATAATATATTTTTCTTTTCCTGTAGTTTTTTTTTTTTCTGGCTATTAATGATTTAAATTCTCCAAGGAGCTAGGTACATCAAGATCAAGTTCAATAGAAATTTCTGCAATGATGAAAATGTTCCATATCCTCATTGTCCAGCACCATAGACACTCTATAAGTTTGGCCAATGAGTATTTGAAATATGGCAAGTGAGAGTAAAAAACTAAAATTTAAGTTTAATTTTATTTAAATTAATTTAAATTTAACTTAGATTGCTATATATGGATTATGGCTACCATTTTGGACAACACAGGTGCTAGCTGATGGAATGGTGAATGTGTAAAGATTCAATTAACGAGTTCACCTTGTCTGTATAGAGCACTTGTGGTTCTTAAATGACAAAGGAACTCTGTTCTGAGAGAGATGAATAATGTGACGATGAGTTCAAGAGGATTAAGTGAAGGGGGTAGGGGGAGAGGGTGGCTGCTGGGAGGTGGACAGAGAACCACAAGGGTAGACCTGTGACAGAAGACTCTTTTCTGTTACTGAACATTTTTAGATGACTTCTGTGGGTTACATGTGAACTCAATTTTCAATCTACATTTATTATATAGCTCCTATCCATTTTAAGGATATTGAAATATGAAGATAGATAACTACGTGAGAAGCTCTTTTAAATATTTAAGTGGGTGCCTTTCAGACTGATTGCTCACAGGAAAACTAATATAAAGGATTAAAATGTGCGAGATGCTGCAGCCTGGGGCAGTAATGGAGGGAGAGGCAGAGGAAGCTCGTGTTGGCTCCTCCCACAGACCTCACTGTGGCCTGGGGAAGATCAGCAGCCCTAAGAGCAAGACTGTGGGAGCAGGCCTTGGGCAGCAGAAGGTCGTGCTTCAGGAACATGTTTATTTATGACTAAAGCTTGAGGGCCTCGGAAAGGGCCCTAGGAGAGACAGGGCCTTACTTGGTTCAGTTGCATCTAAAGACTAAGCACGTTTCTGAGGCATTTCAGTGTCAGATAGTGAAGCTGGTGAGTTGAGTTGTGTTGTAGAAGCAACCTGTGATGTTAGTGTGAATCTTGAGCTAGAGATCTCAGTTCATAGATCTGGTCTCATTACTATTGCACGTTGTGGCAGATCTGTCTGGAAGAGGTTTTGGTCTCCCTAGGGCATTATG